TATCGTGACTTCGATCCGCCCGGACACCAACTTCCCACCTCAACCCCACCTTTTGAATTTTCCCTCCTCTGTCCCAAAAGGTGAGGTTGAGATGGGACAGTGTCCGAGTGGATCGAAGTCACGATAGCTCAAGTGGTAGAGCAGCGGCGTATCTAACCGAAGGTCGTGGGTTCGAATCCCGCTCGTGCCATTGACTTTTCTATCTCAATTAAAAACTTTAATTAATTGAAACAAATTAATTGATCAAGCGGATCACGAAAACTAGTGAATATCTCATACCTTTACCAAACAAAGAAACAGCTTACTATAAAGGACGAAATCTTAACTTTTTCGAAAGAAACAAAATGCCTAGGTATAACTCAAATGGGGAAAACACGTACACCACATTGTGAAAAAGGCCAAGGCTCTTCTAAGCTCTACTAAGTAGTAAAAACTGAGGATTAAACCCCTTTGATCATATTAGGAGCTCCAGGTAGCCAAAACACTGAACAATGAGACACAAAACAAACTATAAAGTCCAAAAAACTAGCGAATCTCCAAATGCCTGCCTCAAATACCTGCAATGGAAACAGCACTCAGCCTTACGTAATATATAAAAGATGGATGTTGAGAGTGTCAACAGACTCCTGAAATGCAATGAAATAAAGTCAGATCTAAGGAGGAGCCACCACAAAATTCTGGAAAGAATTTAAAATAAATGATATTACTATAACGATACCTGATAAAATGAGAGAGAAAAAAAATCAGACCCTTCCAAGTAGTCTTAGATAAAAAATGTTTCAAGAAGGGGCCCTAATATGGTACCCAGATCGATCAAAGATGGAACAGGGAGTACGAGTAAGGATAAAGGCCGAACTATACCCAGCAAAGCTCCTTGTACAAATCCCAATAATTTTCCAAGCTGAGGTCCAAGCAACACAATTCTATGCACAAGGGTTAATTAAGAAAAAAAATGGAAGGTGCACATAATTACATATTCTCAGTCAGCCAGTCAGCCATAAAGGCACTAAATGCGTATGCGTTCAATTCCAAAATTGTCTGGGAGTGCGTAAATTGCCTAATGGCTCTGTGAAAACAAAGCAAGGGGGTTCCCGTACAGCAAATGAACAGGCTTACCAACTTGCTAAGAAAGGAGCAGCCTTCCCCATCCCATGGGACTAGAAGTACAACTCGGTGCATCGGAGTCGGTACTTACGTTGGAACTGTAAAAATGGTTGGAGAAAGGAAAACTCGAATACTGGTCAAACGCACCAGGTATGAAACAAGCACGAAATTGATAAATCTTTCAAAATAGATGGCGAAGGAACTCCTTTTCTCAGGCAGGATTTGAGAAAAATTATAAGCTTCTATACCGGTCACTGTCATCTGAAGAAGATGGCCAGAAAAGGATTGAACACTACACTCACTCCATCATTTATCATTTCTATTAATTTCCTAGTCAAACCAGTAATGGATTATAACACAATCAATAACATCACCTCCACTTACTTAAAATCTGTTAGTAAACAAGTACTTTTAAATCTTTATTACAAATTGAGATTTTCATGCTCAAAGATTAACAAATCAAACTGGTTCAATTCCCAACGTTTGAAATTAAATCTAACCCCGAAATTCGTTCTTGCTAAATTAAATATTAAGAACTGCTCAACTCTCTTACAAAGTAAATGCCAAAAAACTATTTTAAATAATGAATTACATAAATTGTAGAGTCAAAGAGATACAAAACATTTTTATCAATATATTGTACACATTAGGCTTGCGTCATTATTGTCTCAAGTAGAATGGGATGAGTTCGATTATGATACGCGATCAAAAATTAAATTTATCTCTGATAAAAAACAAAGTATATTAGATTAAAAAAATCAAAAGCTTAAAGTTCGGTTCACTTAAAAATATAAATACCCATAAAGATCCAAAAACTCCAGTTAAATTTTACCCAAAGGTTATAAACTTAACAAACATGGTACTAAATAAAGAAGAAATCAATTTATTAAACAAAGGCTTAAAATTTGTTCCTAAAACAGAATTGGATACAATAAAACTACTATCCCTTGGTTCATCGGTGGATTGTAGTAACATAAACACAAATATAAAATATAAATGTGCTGAAATAATTAAACAAAACTTGGTATACCTAAACGTAAAAAAATTAAATATCACACGTACAATTAGGTCTATTGATAAAACGTTATAAAGTAACAACAACGTTATTTTAAAAGCCGATAAAGGAAATAGTGTAGTTATCATTGAACATCAAAATTACGTTTCTAAAGTTGAAGAATTTCCAAATAATAATGAGTGTAAAGAAATACAAAAAGATCCCACCTTAAAACTAAAAACTCGAGTTCAAACAGCCATAAAAAATAATGATTTTTTATTCTCAGATGACCAATATGCAGTTAAAAACTAACACCAATGAACCCGAAACCCCCAATGTTATACGGTACATTCAAAATTCATAAGGAAAACAAACCTATAAGACCAGTAGTGTCCTTTTATAATTCCCCAACTTACTGTTAGAAAGAACTATCTTTTTAAAAAGGATTGAACACCACACTCACTCCATCATTTATCATTTCTATTAGGTATGGTTAATTTATAAGGGTTCCACAATAGATCTATTTAGGTCGCAATAAAGGATTGTTATAATTCTATACAGACCAAAAAAACTTAATTTATTTGATAATTAAGGTACATACATATGGTATCCATCATTTAAAAAAAAGGACTAAATGACTCTTAAAAACATTTCCCCATTACTCTATTACATTTCCTCACTCAGTAAGGATAGTGGAGAACTTGATATTCATCTATATCACCGTCGAATTTCACGCTAATAAATACATTCACTCAATATACATACAACGAAACACAAAATAAGATTTCTCTTAGTACAACAAAATAGCCCTGTTTCTTTCAAAAATCGAAACATCGACCAAAAAACTCGCGTCCTTTAAAAAACTTAACCTATTCCTAGAAGCTCTCTATAAGGTGCCAAGGAATAGGCACCCTTCAATTAAGTGGGTCACATCGAGAAAAGTTCTTTACACGCAGGTCTCATACGCCAAATTGGTTCCTATGTTTCTGGTTTTAAAATTATGTTTTAAAGGATACACAAGAAAGGGCGTTACTAGTAATTAATAGAATTGGACGATACCTAATTCTCATATTAAAGCGCCGTAATGAGGTTTTGGTTTTCATCACGTCCTATTTTTTTAAACTACAAATGCGTCCACTATTGTCCCAACGAAACGAAATTTGCAGAAAGGTTTATTTTTATGCTTAAATTTTAAGAAAAAGTAACTAAAGATCATCTATTGCTGAGGCATTGAGATTGAAAGTACTGGTTTGGAAGGTTCAAAAAGAACTGATTTTTACATGGTAAAGTTAGTTATTAGCAAGAATGGGCTGGGCTCAATCCCGCCCCGAGAGATATCGATTTATCTGAGAGAGTGAGTGGCCGGATTTGAATGTTTGAGGTGATTTATGTACACATATGTATATAGTTATATACTGCAGTTGAAACCTGAGGTATAAATGATAGACTAGCATTTTAAAAACTCGACTTAGTTTTCATACAAAAGCAGATTCCGTAACCAGATCGAGGCGCTCAAATGGCTGCAGGAAAGACTGGAAAAATGATTAAAAACACGCGGAGGGAGACTAATTTTAATTATTAATACTACAGTAAATAAATGTGTGGTGATTAGTGACCGTTAATCGATATTTATTTAGAAATCGTGAGATGCGGTCTGGTGTGATGTAGGTATCAGAAAAACATTTTCTTTATCGTGCCAACGTTTCGATCTTTATTGAGATCATCTTCAGGGCCTGGGATTTACAAACGTTGGTTACATATAACAATTACATTTTGGATGTGGAAAAGTGAATTTATACAATGCAAAATATTTTTTTTATATATTCAATCAAAGTATTTCTACTCACCAAAGTGTTTTTCTTCAGTGTAATTGTGCGATTCTTGCGTGTCGTGTCGAGAGTGCCAGTGAGATTTTGCTATTTTGTGTTTATATACGTTGGATTTTGAAGGGGTGGGGAAGGATGTCGGTATAGAGAAGAAAGTTTTGTTTGTGGTTGTTGTTACCATTCTTTGAGGTGAAAAGAGCCGACGAAGGGAAAAAATGTTTTGGCCAGATTATCCTTTCAGGATTATATAGAAATACGTTGATTGAATATATAAAAAATATATTTTGCATTGTATAAATTCACTTTTCCTCATCTAAAATGTATTTATTAAATGTAAACAATGTTTGTAAATCCCAGGCCCTGAAGATAATCTCAATAAAGATCGAAACGTTGGCACGATAAAGAAAATGTTTTTTGATACCTACATCACACCAGACGCATCTCACGATTTCTAAATAAACAGTAAATAAACCAACCATTAAGTGCATTGTACATGAAATCAAATAATTCATCCTCCCTCTTGTATATTATGTAGTTTTGGGGGGCCGCGGTAGCCGAGTGGTTAAGGCGTCAGACTCTGGGCAAGTAGATCCTGCGGTCGTGGGTTCGATTCCCACCGTCGCTTCTGGACTTTTTCTGACGCCTAAGGGGACCGGTGAATTGTCAATTGAAAGAAATTGACACGGCACTCATCAATGGAAGGAGCGGGATCAGATCTCAGCGACCCTCAATTTGGTCCCAACCCCCTTCAAAAATGAGTTTCTTCGATGGAAGAACACCGGCACACCGGGGGCTCAAATTCACACTTGTGTTGCGAGCCCACAAAAATGGATCCAGAGATAAAGTACAATCAGCTGTACAGCTGCAGTGCTCAGGAGGGAACTCCTCCAGTTCCTGGTATCCATTGGTAAAAAATTATTATGTAGTTTTTTGTATTTAAATAAATAAATTTAATAATTAATAAGCGAAAACAAGTTTTCTATAACTTTTCCTTCATTAATTGATATTTTTGCAAATAATACAATGGCCTTTTGTGCATTCCTTTTGTTCCTTGTATAATTATTTTTTGTCTGCAGATCGTGCTCTGTCCGAGGGTGATCGTCCTCTCGAGATCCTTCACAAGTGGGGTCCTGCCAGGGATCACGTCACCTTTACACTCAAGTACACCTTTCTAAACAGTAAGTCGCATGATTTTTTGATTATTTTCTTTAGTTTGTTTTTATCGCAGAATGTTAAAATTTCGGTTCTAATTCGTCTACATCGATGGAAGTGTGATTAAGGGAGAGGCCCAAGGCAAAGGCAACTCTCCGTGAAATTAGATAATATTTGATGAGGCAGAGGCGCAGCAGTGCTTAATGCAATGAGGGCACTTTGCTTTAGACCCAGGCGAAGGTAAACATCCAGGTACATGCTTAACATCACATCTTAACTGTTCCTAATCAAACGAAAATCGGCTCCAGTCTCTTACAAAGTTCGGTATCTCGTCCGTAGTTGTATCCCACATCTTGATTGTAAGGTTTAACCTTTTATTTGACGACTTCATTCAAACTTACTCGTGATGGTGAAAACTTTTTTTATTAAAAAGACCAAATTTAACTAATCTTCCAATTGTATTTTAAGTAAACTCTTAATGGCTTTGAACTTTTCACTAAACATAGACAATGAAGGAACTGATTATATAAAAAAAATATATAAAAATCAGTCTGATTACTAGTTTTTGGTAATTATAACTTTCAAATAATTAAGGTTCTTAGTGGAGATAAAAAAGTCAATGTCACAACGGGAATCGAACCCACGACCTTCGGCTAGATACGCCACTGCTCTACCACTTGAGATATCGTGACCTCGATCCACTCGGACACTAACTTCCCATCTCAACCCCACCTTTTGAATTTTCCCTCCTTTTTGCCATTTTTCAAAAAATTAATTTGTGGTTCGAATCCCGCTCGTGACATTGACCTTTTTTTATCTCAACTAAAAACCTTAATTAAGTGAAAGATATTAATCGGTCAAGCGGACCACGAAACCTAGTGAATTGGGTAATTATAATATTACAAGCGTTTCATACCCATCCAAGGAGATTTGAAAATTGTCGACACTATCTCCTGCGTTCTGGAGAATAAAGAATATTTCATGGGTGCGTATCTAGATGTAGTACAGGCTACTGATAGGGTCTAGCACCGGAGAATGATTTATAAACCTAAACGCCTCCTGCTCACTCCTTATTACCATATCGTGAAATCCTATTTAACCGACTGTTGCTTCAAAGTGAGGTGAGGCAACGAGTTCTTGGATGACAAACAGGTACAAGCTGGCGTCCCACCAGGGAGCAATCTTGGTCCCATCCTTAATAGAATTTATTCAGCTGACGTACTACAACCCAAAAACACCAACCCCAAATGTGGACTCAATTTTGTCCTCTAATTGGAATGCTATCCAGGCAGAACATTCCTTTTGTCAACGAACTGCTCCTTTCCCTATTCTGAAAGTTTCACAACAACTTCTCGATCCGTCTTAAACTTATTGCTTGAGCCCTCTCCGCACATTCCCATCTGGAGAACCTGCCACGTCGCCTTAATCGACGACGACCCCGGAACCTCTTTGCCCCATAGTCCCTTACACTGAGTACCAGCATTAGCCGGTTTCTCATGGCATGTGTACTGCCGGTGCAACGCTGGCGTTAGTGTTAGTGCTGTGATTTTAAGAAAAAAAAAGTCTTATGATCACATTTATAATATGAGCTTATATGTATAGGGTACGAATAAAATAATTTAAAAAAATATTGAAAGCTGATTAATATTAATCAGAAGATAACTAATTTTTATTTTAAAAACAGTTCTTAAATGCAAATTTTGTTTAGGAGTTTTTAATATCCTTCTCAGGTGAAATTAAATTAAATTTTGAAATTCATTTCCAAAGTTGACAAATTAAACCTGATTTCTTGACACTAATTATAATGGCTGAATATAATTGATGCTTCGACCAACTTTACAATAAATTTTTTACAGCACGATTATAAAGAACGCTCTAGCAAATTGATAGAATCGTGGTATTTCTTCTTGAGACGTGTTGGATAATGGACTAGTTTTTCGGTACTTTCCAATTCTTGTGGCTCGTCTAGTTTCGCTGATTTGGTGTTGCAGAAGGGTTTCGACATTTTTCCATTTTTAACCATGCTTGCTAGTGTATACAGGGAAAGTCTGACCTAACTACAAATTGATAAGAACCAAACAAAAGCTTTAATATTCTTCCTTAGGTTTGGACAATTATTTTAATTATTTGTTTTATTCTTCATAGAACTATTTAAACGTCGTAATTAGTACAGCTTTTTTATGTAAGCAATCGCAAAACATGGTTTGTCTTCCATTGTCTGCTAATACAGCAGTTAATTTGTTGTTCTCTTAAATTGTCTGACATTCCTCATTATTCATTAAACCATTGAAAAATAACAAAAGGCCTAATTAAGAGCGTTAATTAGAAATAAACAAAAATTATTACCCCGTTTATGTAAGAACTGTTGGTGGGAAGTTGTTTAATTAAAATATGATACCTCTTTCGGAAAGCCCACACACTCTAAAACTTCTCTCTAATCGTCGATCACAAAAACTTTCAAGTATGAAAGTTCCTCTTGCTAATAAATACAACGAAGAAGAATTAAATAAACGATAAACTTCCGATTAAAACGGAATTCATCAATTCATCACGCGGATTTTCATATATTTTGCAGACAAGTGGGTTTCTGTTTCAATTGTTGCTGTATTAAATCATTATTTTCCCCTGGAAAAAACGTTTTTTTCAGTAAGAAACAGAGGTGTTAGCAAACTCGCCTTGAACGCTTATTATCCCTGCTTCGTTACACGCCTTCTCTCTTTTTCTCCCTTGCTTACTTTCCCACTTTTCTGTGCTTTGACGATCCCTGATTCATCTCAAATACAGATCAAAATTACAGTTGCTTAGCTTTCTTCCCTTTTCTTGCTTTCTGTATTCCATTGCTTCATTACTAAAGACTAAGCGCTTTGTGGTTAATACATTTGTTTATTTATTATAACGCAAACAGAAAGAATCTACAAGAGGAGTAGTCAAAAAAGGCACATAATAACAAAAAGAACAAATGAAAAATTAAGCAATAATAACAAAAACACAAAGCTTAATGATTCAAGGCAAGTAAACATTTTAATTTAACTTTAACTGAATTCAAGGAATCGCGAAATTCATCTATTTCATAAGTATAATAATTCAGCAATCTCATTATCCTCGGTAGGGGTGAATTTAGTCCATATTCTGGTTTGTAGTGTGGAACAAAGAACAAATTAATCCTTTTTAAAAAGATAGTTCCTACTCACAGTAAGTTGTTTTGGAACGATCCGGATTTCGAGCCTTTTTAGCTCGTCATCAGATTGAAGGACTTCTACAACCACGTCTCTCGACATGAATTGCCAAAGTGAACCCGCTGATACCTCCGCCAATTTGGCAATTCATGTCGAGAGTCTTGGTTATAGAAGTCCTTCAACCTGATGATGAGCTAAAAAGGCTCGAAATCCGGACGTTCCAAAACAACTTACTGAGAGTAGGAACTATCTTTATAAAAAGGATTGAACACCACCCTCACTCCATCATTTATCATTTCTACGAACAAATTATGGTTCCTAAGTGGTCGCTGAGGCACACATAACGATAAATGTAAGTTCAGGATATCAATGGACCCATTCCACAATTTCCAACCCCAAATGAGATCGGCAAAAATACGGCGGGAGCTAAGCGACTCAAGACCAAGCCAGTTCAGTCTTTCCAAGTAATTCAGGTGTGCAAGACCAAATCTGAAGGCCAATATCTTGGTTGCTTTCTTTTGTACTTTTTTTACAAGTCGCTAATCTCACCAACGTAGTAAGGGGACCACACGACACTTGCATATTCCAGATGGATACGAACGAGGGATTGATAAAATATGTTAACTGCCATGATGTTTTTAAAATCTCTAGAAAACCTAGTAATAAAGCCAAGATTGCGTAGAGCCTTACCTCGAATCTGTTTGATATGGTCACTGAAATCACCCTTTCTGCTGAAAACGATACCAAGGTCGGAGATAGTGTCAACCTCTTCCAATCTCTGCCCATCAACGAAATAGTGAAAACAATCAAAGTCACGAGGTCGGATATTTTTAGAAAATTTAATTACCTTGCATTTGTTACTATTCAAAGGAAGACGATTCTACTCACACCAATTATTGAAGCAGACCAGTTCCCTGTTAACCCAACACAGTCGTGAGTAGAAGACACTGAATTAAAAAATTTTAAATCATCCGCCAATAAAGAAAACTTACAATCCTTGAATATACCACAGATATCATTGAAATAAACAAGAAATAATATGGGCCCGGAGTGAGAACCCTGAGGTACGCCAGAAAATGTAAAAATCCTATCCGATACAGAGTTATTAATGAGAACAGAAAAAGAGCGACCAGATAGAAATGATTCGATGAAGGATAACAAAGGATCACCAACTCCAAGGATTTTCAACTTAAACAGAAGAATATCAATGTCAACTCTATCGAAGGCCTTAGATAAATCTGTATATACAGCGTGAACACTATTTCCATTCTCAAGGGAATTAACAATAAAATCATAATAATGAAATAAATGTTGGATTGGTGGGACTGGATACAGGATGAATTAGAATATTTGGTCAACCACCGATTTTCCACTCCGTGGTCACATGTCGGCCAAATTAGACTTTTTTAAAGGTTATGTTTGTTGTTAAGGTTTAGGTCAGATCGTTGGTAGAGTAGGCTGAGCAAGAGTTTGTAACAGCGGTTCATGTCTTGTGGATTCCACGTCAGTCTTTTATCAGTGTACCCCAGAGAAATTAACATGAGAATATTTCCTTTCATTCATTTGGATTCTCCATTTGCGGTACCGGTCTTCTAATAGGATGATTTGTCTTTGCACATGCAGCTTACAACGGATGTGTTGGAGTGAGAAAAGATAGGCTTGTCGTCGGCAAACGTGGAGATGACGGGTTAGGGGAATGTAGGAACCAGTGTATATTGTAAAAAGAATCAGGCCAAAGATAAGGTTGGTGGGGGTTTCCGCAGTTTCAGGTTTTTAAGTTTTGAGGATGTTGATTCATTCAGTTAATCATGAAAAAGATAAATTAGGATCTTCTTCTGAATTACTGATCG